TATTCGCTACAAATATCACCCGTACTCGCTACAAATGTCACCCGTACTCAATACAAATGTCACCCGTACTCGCTACAAATATAACCCGTACTCGCTACAAATATCACCCGTACTCGCTATTTTCTGAAAAGTACGACCCGTACTTTTCACCCATACTTGGCTCATTTTGGTACATTTATATATATGCATATTTGGACAAAAGCATTTGTTTTGGGGATTTGAAGCATGTATTTCTGAACTGGATCTAGCTATGTAAAGTGACACAGGGTATTGTCACATGTGAAATTCATAGTGAATGTGCATCCATCCTGACATTAAAGAAATTACTATGTTGTAACCTTCACCTTCATAAAACAATGGTCACCTTCGGACCTGGGGATGTATATGATTACATCTTACCTGTATCTATGGTAGGAAACTAACATTCTTTCTCTGATGACACCTTCAATTCTCATGTCTATTACTAATAACATTACACCATATAAAAACAATGCTTCACACTACAAATAAATAAACACAGAATTACACTATGAGTACACCACATGCTGTACTAGTTAACATACCATACTGGACTGCATTAGTGCCCATGTCTGGCCAAGCGCCCACCCCCACTTTTGAGCAATTTTTATATGCAAGGTCACATTCAGCAAAGCGACCACCCCTTCAAAATGCCACTAATTTGAAACTTGGTCTTTGATCATTGCTTAACGAATAATGGTAATCATTTTTATATGATTTTCTGTTTCTGTTTTTGCATTGTAAAAGTCAATGATGACACAACTAATTTTGTAATTTTATTTTCCCTCAAATATGTAATACTCCCCTCAATCTGTCACATGATGAATTCAAATTTTCATTTGCACTCTTTCCCGAGAGAGTGCTCGGGTATGCGGCCATCCCTAAAAAAACATAATTTTGTGAGTTGAGGACACATTCATAGTGAGGCTCATCTGCATTTTTTTATCTTCAATATTTAGTACAATCTCTGTTAATGTTCTTGAACTATGTTCCAAACCTCATGGATTCAAATCTCTTCCTCATTTGTAAATTGTGAGTCTCATTTAAATAACATTTGAACACTTTTGTTTACTTTAGAGGCAGAAGTGCTACAGAAACCTGTTACTGAATGCAAACGTTCACACAGCATGAAACATTCTTTGTTGCTATTTAGGTTGTTATCTAAATTATCAGTACAAGAAAGAAAAGATGCAATAAAGTTATCGTGAGAATACTGCAAAGTATGCACTCAGGCAGTACAGGAATCCATCAACCTCCACTACAAATCATGTGCATACTTTGTCTTATTCTGTATATTAATAAGGTTATCATGAGAATACTGCAAAGTATGAACTCGGGCAGTACAGGAATCCATCAACCTCCACTACAAATCATGTGCATACGTTGTCTTATTCTGTATAATAATAAGGTTATTATGAGAATACTGCAAAGTATGTATTCAGGGAATACTAGTACACAAAGGCATCAACCTCTGCAACACATTAATCCATATGATTACTGTACTGACTTCATATTTTTGGTAATCTCATAATAACCCCATAGTATTCGCAGTCAACTCAAAATTTATAATATGCATATTAGCACTAACAAATCTTTATGAAAAATTTCAGTAGCCTCATCATAATACAAGCCTAATTTCATCTATGCCGCCGTGGTGTCACTGTGACATCATCATAGCATCACTGTGGAATCACTGTGGTACCACTGTAGTGAATTTATTATTGTCCAAAATGGTCTCTCACCATGAGTTGTTTGCCATCTTCATTTAGCAGGACTGTTTCCAGAGTTTGCTGAATAAACACCCCTTCATAGAGATCTTCAAGAAATCTACAAAAATAACAAAGGATGTAAGTTTTATACTTTTATACATATTTTTGGATGTACATGTTACAACTTCTAAACCCCTTTTTAAAGTGCCAATGAGATGCCCACAAGTACGCCTGTCATTTTCGATCATTTGTGTCCCTCTGAAATATACATTTATGAATTTTGTTTTTTAAAATCTAAATCATATTTAAGTAAATTTGAGATATTTTTTGCCAAGCCCCTGTCTATCCTGGCTCAATCGACCGTTACCGCAAAAATATGAGGGAAAACCATACTCTTACACCATACTTCTACAATACTGCGTCATATAATTAATAATATATAAAAGTTATTTTCACAACAAATATATTTACAATGGTTACATGGGATGGGCCTCTCCTTACCCCGACATATATATGCAGCACTTCCATGTCGCCAACTTTTTTTACTTTCACTGTCTACAAATTTCTGAATTGTTTAATAATAGGTGTTGAATGGTGACATCTCTGTGATCAGATGACGTTCGTTTTAACTTGCTCTTGGTGCGTAATAATTCGTAGACTAAGCATCCAAACTCTAAAGACCTGAGGTAACTAAATTTTACGACCACGTAATTTTAATGCAATGTCATAGCTATTACAATCATGACAACTGAATCATACACCCCCCCGGTAGGTGCTTTAGATCATTGGTATTATAGAAATGTGAAGTTTGGTTGTATGTCAGTCTAATTCTTTTTAATAAATCAAACGCCATCATCCGCACGCTTGTTCTCTGAGCGTGTTCCATGGTTGCTATGTTACTGAACATGCTCACGACAGAAAGGAAGAGTCAATTTTACAGATGTTCATTTATGAGCCTATTTGCATCAGTTTTTCGTAAGTTGAATATACATGCTTGTACATGCACATAAAGCATGTACAATACAATAGGATATGGTAAATGATATTTTGTCCTTATTCCTTTTCAATGTACAAATGTAAAGCATATTTTTTATTTTCTATACTCTATGAAAAGTTTGTGAGCTTTCAAAGTAACGTTGGATTTCTACAATGCAAAATCAACACGTTTGGAACAAAACTGAAGCTGGTATAGTAAAATAAACTAAATTATTTCTGCAGACTGGAAGTTAATCCATGTTGTTTCACCCCCCCCCCCCCCCACACACACACACACACACACATGGTAGTTATTTAAGCAACCGGGGAATTTAAGGATAAAATAAGTCTATTGCATATACTTTAATATACAACCTGTCAAGGTATTGTGGAACGGTGTTGGTCAGATAAGGCTAAGCGGATCAAAAATTAATGGAAGCAGTAAATAAATATGTAAATATGCATAAAAAAAAAATTTTTATTTCAACAAAATAAATTTTCCCAAGAAACATTTTAAGTCATTTGATTACACGACAATGAAAAAATTTCACAGGTGATTTTATTGATATTATCAAAGATTTATCAGATATGCTTTATGATCATGCAAGTGGTGTCATTACAATGAAGATCTTGCGAGAAATGAAGAAAAGTCACTGGTTTGTGTTTGTCAGGCTGTTTTCCTAGTGTCATTACTTATTCATAAAGTATAAATTAAGGAGGTATGAACCAAATTCAAGAGTATTCTCTGATGCTATTGGCTAGAAAATAAGTATGTAGTAGGAACATGTAAATCACAATTATTTTGCAATTGGCATCATAGAATGCAATGTATGCTTGGAAAGTTTTGATTATGTAAACAGAAATGAGTTATGTATCTATTCAATGGGGCAAAAATACATATTACACAATCTGAAAATTTGTAAAGACACTACAAAGACACTACCGGTAATCATTTCTTTGAGACTCATTTACAAAAGTATCTCTGGAATTGTGTTTGGCTTACAATTTTATGAACATCTCACAATTTATGCGACTTCAAATGAGACCTCCATTGCCCTTTATTTTATAAAACCTTGACTAACAAAGTGTACCTTAGATATAGAAACTGAGAAATATTATTTTGTATCAGACTTTTATCAGACATTTATTAAAATTAATCAGAAAACCATAACAACAGATATCTTCGGTTCTTACCTATTAAGATCTGTGATATATTTGTGCACACTTTCAAAGGCAAGATAAAATCTTGTTAATATTTCAATATTGTTTTCACGAAATTCTTCATCTAAGTCTTGTAGATCCTGGAAATAAATGCAAGAAGAAACAAGACTGAGTCACTAACATTTTGCGCTACATAATTCCCATTGGGTGCTGATAGAAATAAAAAAAATATATTTGAAAAAAATTATGGCGGTAAAAATTAATTTTTCATTCAATATTGCCACAGTAAATAGCGATGAAAGCCTGATCACAACAACCAGCGAACCATGTATATACTAAAAATTGTAATTCTTCTATTACAATACAAAATCATAACATGCAACATGTTTTAGATCAGAAACTCAATCAAGAAAGAGAGCAGTATAAAATTATGTTCTTTCACACAGAGAATTATAGAAGTATATAAATGGTTCATGCAGACAAATAGACCAAATGTTTAATCATGAATAAGACTGTTGCATCTGTGTTTAATTTCTCCCATTCAACATTTTACAAAAAAAAAACATGTTGTGCACTTTTGCATACTGGAGTGCTGGGAAAGACTTCTGGCGAGTATGAATTGATGTCAAAGTGTACCACAGTATGCTTCATGGATAAATTTAACATGTGTTGTCATTGATACATGAATAATTAATTATCTATCTGAGCTTGCTATAAATCATAACAAAATA